TGGGTGATTCTCTGCTGTTGGGGGTGGGGGGGGGGGGGCACGAGGGGAGGAGTGGACATTGTGATACATCATGTGTTTAAGCAGTGGAGGGGAGGCCTGGGTTGTACAGGGTTAACGACTGGACCTCTCTGTGGGCTGCACCGGCTCTCGGAGAGAGGATAAGGACTGGCGGTGGAGGGGGCATCTGGAGCGCAGGGGTCACATCACTCACATCAAAGCAGGCAGGGAGTCTGGGTCACCCTGTTTGGCTGTGGGGTAGTGGTGAAGAGAGAGTGGAGGGGAGGGAGCAGGATCACTAACAGAGACAGTGAAATAAGACAAACTGAAGGGAGAAACAAAGAGACGGGGGTGGGACGGGGGTAAAGTGTTGAGACGGTGCAAGGTTTGTTATTTTCAGGTTTAGTAAAAACATTTGAACTTCACATATGACCTGCATTCAATTGTTCACGTTCACGCTATTTTCTTGATGAATGCTGTTTAGCTTTCAAGACAGTAGAAGAGAAATATAACTAACGGCCTTCATAAAGCCACAAGTGGAAACTATAGGAAAATAAATCAGGCTCAAAACAGTGGCAGCTAAATTGGACATTATTATATTATTATCATTATATTTTTGTAATTTAGAAAAAATATTGACGGACTCCTAATTTTCTCTCAGTTTTGGGACAATTTTCTAGTTTAAGTGCCTCTGTTGTACTGATCAATTCATATTATTGGGTTCAAACCTTCATAGCTTTTTGATCTGTTATGATTTGTCTTTCTTTACAAAAACTGTCAGAAAGTGAATACATAGCAACATTTGGATCAGGAATATCCTTCAAAGCAAAGTCTTTTGTCATATGTTTGAGTTTCTCTAAGCTGCTTTTTCCTCCTTATAGGACGAGCTGACTAGGTTGTAAAAACAAAGGATAAAGTTCCGCCCTCTTCTTACCACTGATACTGGCCTGTTTTGATCATCTTGTTTTTCTGTTTTTCGTTTTTTTGTCATTTCTTCTGTTTAACTTGAAGTAAAAACCAAAGTGCATTTTAAAATTTTGTAACCCTCTTGTATCCATGTGTTCTTTTGAAGTGTCTTTGTTGCTGAGACCATAACACAGACCTAAAACAAACATTTCAATGTGAAAGGTTGGATGGATGAGACATGTCCACATGTCTGCATAGAAAAAGGGATGGATGAGTTCATTACTACATTTACTGCAGACTTTTATATTGAATCTGTTACCAAAACTGGTTCAGTCTACATAAAAACCATTGTTTCCCCCCTCATGTAATACTGCTTATGACTTCTGGAGGACCAATGCTGCATGTTTGAAATGATCAGATAAAGTTAAATTCCATTAACACTGATCACACCCTCATCAGAAAATACATGTGATAGAAGTTTTCAATTCAAAGTCTGGGTCAAAATTTTGTTTAGAGCGTATTTGTTGAAAATAAAAATATGTCTAACAAATTCTAACATTGATGGTCCTAAAATGCAAAAAAACAGCTGAGATTACTAAAAAAGAACTCTTGAATATGTTTGCATTTCAACTAAAATGTTATGTATTCCATTTAAAAAATCAAAGGTTTAACCTATTTTTGTTCTTGTGTAATTTCAAAAACAACCAATTTAAATATTATAATTTAAGCTAAATACATATTTTGGGAAAAAATACTCGGCATGAAAAAAATAGACAATTAAAGATTATATGATTTTTCTGCAAGTTGTTTAAGTTTTTCAAATTTATTGCAAGTATTCTGTTATGTACACATATATTTACACAATATGCATGTTTTTATTTTTTGCACTTTTAAAGGCTGTATAGTGACCTACTGTTTTCTGTGGAAGCATAATTAGAAAAAAATCTATACAATCTTAAAAAGGCAGGCTACAAGAAAAAGAAAAGAAAATGAAAATAAACCACCATCTTTAATACATGGAAGCTGATTTACTTCACTGTAAAATAAATACTGTTAACAAAAACCATTTTATTAACTACAAGCACTTAAAGTGAGCTTTTGTCTTTTGTAAGACGCCTCTAACATAAACTCTTTTGCACAATAAAACCAATCATTGCTTCCTAATGTATACCAAGTAAATATATGAAAAATTTAAATGTACATTCTGTGTGGTGTCCAGCTGCTGCTTGAATATCTGAAGTGCTGTTTTAACGAAAATGTAAAATTTTCAGGACAGACAATGAGACTGCATAAAACATGTTCTTCCTTCACAAACTTGACTTGTCAACATGTGGGAAGATTTTTACTGTTGGAATAAAGGCAACATTATAATACTTTAGATAACCTTTTAAAAATAAACAACAGTATTTACACTGATAAAATGCTATGCTGTTGGTTTCACATGATAAAACAGGTTTAAATGATTCAGACATGAATCAATAACCATAAAAGGACAGTTAAATGTTTACTACTCTGAGAAGATTTAAAATATTTAAAGAGTCGTGTTTTGAAATACATGTGAATAATCATTCCATTTATTATTTTATTTTACATCCTTTTATAAGTGAAGCTTTCAGGTACATGACTAAGTGCCACAGAGCAATTTGAATCTAAGGAGCTAAAACCAAAAGGGAATATGATTCTTTAAAACATAATTAAAACTATTTCTGTCTAGTTTGATAAAAACAATACAATGATGTGTGGATAAAACTGATCTACCCCTGCATATCTGTCCTTTTTATTTTAGTGTAGATAAACTTGGTTAGAGGGTTTAAAACTATTTTAGTGTTTCTAGTAAACTGTTACAGGTTTTTAAAATGAATTAAATACTGCACAAGTTAATATAAAGCTGTAAAAATGTGTTAGGATTGTGTGAGTTTTAATTGTGTTTGAATCATTAGTGATGTCTTGTGTGGTACTTAAAGCTTAGCCTAAGCTGCTTAGGCTAATAATATTTAAGTGGGACAAAATCTAACCTATTATCTAAATTTAATTGGACTATAAGACCATTTTCTTTTCCAGCTGCAGAACTTTAAATATTTGAACATTTATAATGTGAAAATTTCTATGAATATTAATTAGTTTTTTTTAACTGAGTGCTTTCAGATTCTAGTTGTGAGTTTTAAACATTATTGGGTTTTCTGGTTTTAACTTGATTTTAATGCATCCTGCGAAGTGAATATTATTTAGCTGATTGAGTAAAATGGTTCAAGTTCAAATGACCGTTGAATGAAATGACGTTGTCGCCAAAGTGGCTCTTTTTAAAGTTTGAACAGATTGGAGTCACAATGTTTTTAATGTCCTAATCATCAGCATAAATATAAATGGATGAAGCATCTCTGCTTTGTCTTGTTTAGAATTGAAGCCAAGTTGTCAATTTTGTGGGCTGCCATGTTGATTTTTCAGAGCCAGAGTCTGTGCGCCATGAAGGTTAGGCTGTCCCTCAATATGAAAGTCCCGCCCACTCACCCTCCAAAACATCTGATAGGCTGCTTCATCAGTCACAGAGCTTTAAAGTCTCAAATAACCCACTGAAACAAAATTTATTGTTGAAGGGGACCTATTTTGCAAATTTCACTTTTTAAATTTTTTTTTACTCTACTTTGGGTATGTACTTCTTAAAAAAAACAGTCCTAGGACCAAAAAAATGCACCCAGGGGCATATTTACTGTAAGTAAATGTATTTTTAATGTATATTAACGACAAGTTTTATACTTCCGTTATTTTGTGATGTCACAAGCCATACGACAACCCACCGGAACCTGCGTTCAGCCCCTTACCTAGCAACCCCCGGGTGAGACTCCACCTCCTCAATATAAAGAGCCATCACCGTGTTGTTATATAATGCGCAGCTCAGTCCACAACAAGCCTCTAATAGGGCAATGGGTAGAGTGTTGGACCAGAGAGTGGGAGACCAGGGTTTGAGACTGGCATGAACACATTTTAATTATTTATTTATTTTCGTTCGTTATGAACACATTTTCTCATGTAGCTCTATAGTTTAGCTTATTAAAGCCTTGTTAAAGCCTATTTGTTCGAGTTTCTGAGGTATTTTGACCGCTGCTGCTCCCTGCTCTGGTAACAGCATGCAGAGTGAGCGCAGAGCAGAGGAGGGAGAAAAAAAGAAGCTGTGACCATGACTGCCTCTGGGTCTCATATGGTTGTACAACAGAGCTTCTGCTATTATTAGCCATGCTAACATAAACACTGGCTTTGGAGGGCGGAGTTAATGTCAACAGATTTTTGGAGGGCGTTACCAACAGAGCTCATTAACATAAACAGCTCTTCTGAACGTGTCAGAGCAGGCAGAACTAGAAAATGGGAAATTTTATTATCTGAGAATTATTTTGTGAATTAAATTGAATGAACATGGTCTGGATAGCCCATAGATATACCATAAAAATTTCTAGGACCCATAATTGGTCTCCTTTAAAAATGTCGTGAGGAAAAGAATAAGAGCACTGTGAAGTAACCAAATATAAAAGCTGGGGGGAAAAGATTCAAATGTATTTTTATCTATTAGTGGATCAAATGTCCCATTTGTTTACTTGGAGGGACTGATTAAAAACTTACTGCAGCTATTTCAGTGGTGGACGCTCTTCCATTTTTGCTTTAACTTCAAGCTTCTGGTTCTGTTTCTAGTTGTAATAAATTTCAATACTGTTTTGTTTATCTGTATCAGTACATCTGACTGTTTTAGCATTGGTGTGTAAACATTTTGGTGCCAGCGGGGTGATCTGATTTTAAATCTTTACCATCTAACAACACAGAAAACCATACGTGGCCCTTGGGTGCTTTTTATTTCCATCTCCTTACATCATGATGAGAGTGTCAGTTACTACCAGTACCAAACTAAAAACTGACATGATGAGTACTTCATTTTGATTATGATTGGATCGAGACAACCTTAATTTGTGTTAATGTTGCTGTTTAAAGTCATGTCAGTATCAACCTATGCCAGAATCTTGAACGTAAAACTTTGAGACCTCACCTTTTGAGGAGGGAGTCTATCTTTACATTCTGTTTGACACACTTTGACAGAGATGTTCTCAACATAATAGTGATAAAAGTAAATCTTTCTGGCAGGTTTAAAAGCAGCCACATTCACTGGAACCACAATAAAACCTCTTAACAGGAGCACATTCAAAGATTAAATTAGATACAAAACTGTTGAGGAAGATGAGAACTTGAGTTGTGTCTGAAGAGAAACATCCTAAAAATAACAAATATAAATTCACTTATCACAGACATCCAAAAAATAATAAAAACAACAACAAAACAAAACAAAACAAAAAACAAAAAAACAAAAAAGAAAACAAAAACTGCACAAGTCAGCAGTCAGTCTGTTGAGCTTCTCTGCCCAGGAGCAGACATGCAGATGAGTTCCAGCTCCAATTTGGTTCATGTTTGTTGCATGTTTATGGGTGTCATTAATGATGTAATACATCCTCTCCTGGACAACAACATCCGCTGCATCCGCTGTTCTCCAAATAACGTTGGTTTTATTAAGAGTAATTGCAACACATTCTTAAAAATATAAATATAAATTTATCTAAACTCTGCCTTGTTTTGTTCCTTAGAGGTCTTTTTTTTAATATCAGCATCTGATGATTGATAAAGGAATGTGTTATTGTTCTTCTTGTCTTTCTTTTAGCTGTTCTCACTCCACTCCGGCATGATGCTGACACTGTGTACAGAGTGGTACTGGTGTGGTGATAGAGTGCGCTGGATGCCGTGTGTATAGAGGTACTCGTTTCCTTGTAAGCCGGCTGTTGGCGACTGGATCCCGGCCCCGGGGCTGCACTGCCGGCCCAGAGTCTGGTGGGTCATGGAGCTCTGGTACATGGCTGCGTGGTGACCCTCGCCCAGCTGCGGAGAGGCGTGGCCTCCCACGCCACCCAGTCTGGACACTAGAGACCCTGAGGTGAAGTGAGCGGAGAAGTGCTGGTAGGGCAGCCTCTCCATCGGCTGCATGGTGGTGACAGAACAACTACCGTAAGGGGAGACGCTGGCCCAGGTGTTGCAGCTGATGTCCTCCAAACTGGGAACAGATTCTGGGCCTTGCGAGGTGCTGGCGTACATACAGGCCTGTCGCTGGCTTGATTCACTGCGGTAGGGCCCACTGGCAAGGCTGAGGCTCTGGGGGTAGCCGACAGGCCGGTAGTAATGGTCCTCCTCGCTGGAAGAGCTCTCCAGATAGGCCTTCTTGTAGCTGTGCTCACCTGAGTGACAGTCGTCCTCCACTGCAGGCAAAGTTACAGACACAGAAACCAGACTTATTCAAGTGAAATACATCTCATAAAAAAACAAACAGAAGTTTGCTCTGTTTCAGCTTTGATGGAACGAAAATGGCTCTTATTTGTTATTCAACATCTAAAGATTTTTAAATTATATTTACGTTTTCTTTTGGACCAGCACTTTTGTTCACCTACAGATAAAAGGTGTGTGCGTGCAAATGTGTTTGTGTGTCTGAAAGTTAGCAAAATATCTTGAATGACTGGAACTAGCAGAAAGCAATCATTAGCTATACATTCACATCTTAAAAACTTCTGAAACCAGTTTATGTGAAGATGGCCATCAGAATAAACTGACCTTAAAAATACAAAATGATAATAATTTTGTCAATCTGACAGATGTGTTGAATTTGGTGTGTTTTAGCTGAGAGTCAGTCACAATGCTCACACTGTGTGCTTCTCACCAAGCAAGACTTTTGTTTAAAACTTTATCAAGGTAACTCTGCTAGTAAAACATCTCACTGAATGGATTTTTATGAAACTCATAAATTATTTCTGAGATGAACAACTATAACCCATTACCAGATAAGATCTTTAATTTACATGCTGTAATTTCATTCTTTTTTTCTTGTGCAACACAACATATTTAAAGGAAAAATCCTTGATTTATTTCCTTTTTTTCAGGACAGTTTAAGTTAGGTAAATAAAACCTAATCTGAACAAAACCACGTGTCGTGTTACTTTGTGTCACTATTTATTTGTCAAAGTTAGGCCAAGGTATGACAAAGTGAGCGTGCTTTTAGTGCCTTAATAAAAAAAGGTAATGAACATCCAATGCTAATCAAACGCTGACTAATTTAAGCGTCTGTTTGAACTCTGCGGTTTTGGCTTTCTGCTGACCTGCAGCACTCAGGTATGTGTTAACAGTGCAGAAAAAAATCATCAGCAATGATCTTAGAGGCAACTTGCCCATCATTAACCAGGAATAAGGTAAAGAAACTGAAGAGTTCATTCTAAACTGAGAATGATCTGCTAAGTGAAAACAGCCCAAACTGCAGCAAATTAAAGAACACACAATTTCCAAAATCTATGGCTGGAGGAGTTAGTAGAGATGAAGTTGTTGAAGGAGGAGTCTGCAGTGAAAAAACAAAACAAAACAGGGTGATGAGGGGGCAATGAGGCAGGGAACGCTGAAGGAGGAATGCAAAAGAAAAGGTTGGAATGCTGGAGAAACAGTTTATTCTCTAAAAATTAGTATTAGAGAGAGAGTCAAGGCATGAGAGAAACTGACAAAACAACTTTTTTCTTGTGACAGTTATACTTGATGCTGAAAAGTTAAGCCTGGCAAAATTCTTGCCGTGTGTTTCAAACCATCCATTCACAAATCCTAAGTCAGAATTCAAACAAACCAGCGTGATCTGAACTCTGCAGAGCCTTCCTACCTTTCCTCTTGATGCAGTACTCCTGGCTGTGCTCGTGTGGGAGCGGGTAGGAACCCGACTGAGGCAGCAGGTCCTGGGAGGTGCTCGTAACCCCGTTCTCACACTGGGAGTACTGCGAGCTCATGGAGCTGGGTGTGGCCATGCCCTGGACGTCGCCACTGAACGGACTCTGGCTGGAGCCAACCCTCTGTCGAACCGTGCTGCGAGGCACTACTGGGTACTCTTTGGTGCTGCATGCATGCAAACACACACACACACACACACACACACACACACACACACACACACACACAC